CAGGGACTCTAACTCGGTAAGTTGTGAAAATGAAGTACAGCAATGTGTCTGCTAACCTGCTCCTACTCTAGTTTCTGCTTGCAATAATGATCAACAGATGCTTACAAGACAGGTGATTATAAAGTTTTCTCAAAGCCAAGTTTAATTAATCGTAAATCCACTTGACATAACATCCAATTGATCTTGAGTCAAGTCAATTTTGCATTTGAGAATTAAACATTAAAGCATTTAGAATGAGTGGAACTAATCAGACGGTTCATATTGCAACAAGGAACGTTCATAACTTAACCAATTTCACCTTTTTACTTTATAGTTAAAGGAGCGAATGCTTACAATGAGGTGATCCTTGCGTTGGACTCATCGATTCCATATCTACAGCTAAGTCCCTCCCATGCATATTCATTGGGAACACATGGGTCACCTTGCCAGTCTGCTTTGGAGATTTTGTATGTGATCTTGACGTCCAGAATGGCAACCACTATTATTACCCATAGTAAATAGTAAATAGGGCCTCAGGAGTCAAAGTCAAACATATTCTCATGCACACAGAAATGATAGAATATAAGGAAATAGTGCGAACAAGGATTAAAGAGTAGCACATATATACCATCTATTTGGTTTGTTGGGGAAGTTAGTGGTGATACGAATTTATAAATCTCAAAGGCATTGAGGATTGGAGGAGCGTCAGATTCGGACGTTGCACTTATGCTGAAACGAATATCACTGATTTGTAAAAAGCAGCAACTGTCTGTGGTTTCAAGTATTCAAGAGCTAAAGGCTCTTTGAGGATTGTTTCATCATTAACAGTAATACTGATTACTTTTTTTTCCCTGGAAGAAGCTGCTCAATTTCAGCAAAGTTAAAATAGACATAAAAGGCGAAAGACTTTTCAAATGTACCACCCCAAACAGAACGAGTATCAAAGTTCAAAGAAAACGAGGGATTCAATGATTGGGCTGCAGATATCAAAACTTGTGACGGTAATTTGTAAGAATCATTTGTGCTTGCACTATCAATATTTACAGATCTATTGAATGGGTGCCAATCTGCCACTTTAGAAACTACGTCATAGCGCCACACACGATCATAGATGTCATCCTTGTACCTATAGATGCTTCCATGATTAGATAAATGAATTTGAGAATTGCTTCCATGCGTGTTTAAGGAGAAATAAGAAAGCAAGTATTGAGCCTTGAAGCCGACATTAAATTTAGATCCAGATAAGCATAGAGGAGAGAATAGGAAACTGAAACAATGAAAGATCACAGGAAACTGAAATAATGAAAAGAATTTATTAGGGTATGTTTAGTTCAAAGGGAGAGAGGGAAGGGCTGGGGAGGGGGCAGAGAGTAAATGATCTCTTATTTATTTGGTTTGATTAGATGGAATGAGAGCCAAAGGAGTTAATAATCAGTTGATGATTTCATTCTCTTATTAAAGTTGTTCTATTTTTTATTTATTATTAATTATTAATATAATATAATTTATTAATTTCATAATTTAAAAATGCCAATACTTTCATCTTACATCATTTTTTTTTTGAAAAATCAATATATTAATATTATAATTTATCTAATTAAGGTCTTGTACGTTGATTATGATTTCCTCTTCTATGTTACTAACTTTATTCTTTACAACTTTCGAGTAAGAAAATTCCATGTATTTACTTTAACTTTTTATTTTTATGGGAGGTCATTTTTCTCTGGGAGAATGATAGTGAAGTCCAAAATGATTGAATTAATGATAGTTAAGTCTTCAATAAAATTTTTTGAAAAATGATTCAAATAGTTACAAACAAAAATTCTTATTATAATTTAAGAGTTACATTTGATACTTGAATATTTATTTATAGTTGAAACTCATGAATTTATAATTATCTATATCGATATTTTTAACTCATTTTTTTAAAAAAATTGTCAAAGACTTAAATGTCATTAATTGAAGGTTTTGGCGCTTAACTATCATTCTTCCTTTTTCTTTTGATTCCAACAAAAAATATTGAAATTTTATATACAAATGAATTATGTATTAACTTTTATCTGGTAATAAAACTTATTTTATTATAAGTGAGAAGGGAAATTTTTTTAATATCATAAATAGTTTTGCATTTTCAAAATAACATGAGAAAATAATATGGGAGCAATTTCATCAAGTTTATTTTCCTCTCCCCTCTCCCCGCTAAAACCCAAAAAGCTTCAATTTTGGATGCAAAAAGAGCACCATCCTTCTCCCTATGTTGTTTATCAACTAAACAAAGGAAGGGGAACAATTTTCCTCCCCTTCAAGACACCCCAACCAACACACCCTCCATCTAGTATTATGCTGAAGGTTCTGTTGTATTCAATGATGGTTGTGTACATTTACAGTATCAGCTAAGTTATAACATGATTTGATAATCCCATCAAACAATTACGTATGAGAGATAAAATACATAAAAGCTTGAAATGAATACATGCAAACAATGAGGCTAGAGAATATAAGTTTGGAGTCACCTGCTGAACACATCTGAAGTCGTGGAATTAATGTAGCCAACATCGATTCTTGCATCAAAGATTTGGAGTGACTGAGAAGGGGAGGGAGTCAGATAAATAGAATTGGTGAGGAGTCATAGCTCCAATGTAGAATGAAAGGTATTCCCTTTCCAGACTTGACATGGCAAACATCTATGGTGTCTGTTGTTGGAGTATGAATAATCTCCGCAACCTGATAACCTTCATACGGAGGATTAACAGGTGTCCAGTGATTGACGCCAAGGTGCAAGTCAAAAGATGGAGTCTGATTTTTGCCATCATAATTTCCATATGCGAAGAAAGCTCTTATAAGGTAATTGTTGTTTTGCCCTGTTTTGGTTTCAGGCTATAGCAATTCCTTGTTCCTTCTGGAAACTTTCTCAGCGTTTGCAATTGCCTCCCAAAATATAGAAAATCTATGTTATATCTTTTATCAGGTGCCACCATAGCATTTGTTCCTGTTTCTACAAAGCCTATGTCTGTCTGATAAAAGATTCCAGTTTGTGAGTCATTGTATGCGTTGCTTGCTCCACAGTCAATGCTTATGAAATGATCCGCGTCTGCAAAATCTGATACGTGCAAACTTATCAAACTACAACAAATAATGTTTGGTTTCAACTTTATATAATTAAAGGAAAAACCTGGAACCAATGAACTAATAAAATACTAAGCAAACTTTACCAGGGTTGCCAAACTTGAGGAAAAGTTGGATCAAGAACCATAGAATTCGTTGTGGCGTCCTCTCCATGTGATTTGTTGAATTCTGTAAAGACGCTCTCTCTTTATTACAAATAAATACATAAAAGAGTAACAGGGAAGTATAGAAGTAATAGAAAAACAATAGAGATGAACACACCTGGAACTTGGGATCTCAGATTCAAGCCAAGATGAGCAGCGATTTGAGTACTGTTTATATAAGTGGGAAGTAATGTTTACCCTTTGAGATTTGGATTGGCTTGTGTTATTTTGTTTACTTAGCTTCGTTTGACTTTTAAACAGAAAATTAATAAAAAATAGTACTAATAGTTAATGATACACATTTGCGTGTTGATGGTAATTTTTTTTATTCAGGTTGATAGTAATTTTTTTTATAATAATTACATGTTTTTTTAATTATATATAGGTATCCTTCTATTGAATATAATTTTATTTGAGACATTGCGACCACTAAGTTTGAGCACTTCACTTGATAGGGACTCGAAATTACATGTTTTACTTATGGGCTAATAATTTGCACCTCGCCATACATTACCGTGACCTCACACAATCGGGAAGTAATTTTTATTTGTTCTTTAGAGAAAACTTCTATACTAAATTTTATAAATTTAATATGTTTATTTCTAATGAAATCAAGATGTGTGTAATTTTTTATCCATGATTTACGTCTAACTAAGTCTTGATATTAATAATATTTTAAATTGTTTAAAATGTTAAACTCTAGTTATACTAATTTAATTGAAAAAAAGTATATTAAGTATATAAAATTAAGATGTAATTTTTACCCTTTTCTTTTATCTCATTCAAATTATTCAAACATTGAATTGTCATATTGTTAGAAACTAGTCTATTCGACTATACCTATCTCGTTGGTAGTAAGTTCCTTGATAATTAATATTTATGTGTAGTTTTGTTCTTTTGATTTGTAGTGAAATTCGAATAATACATCAACTTTGAATGTGTGTTTGATTGGGAGTTTTGGTCCTGATCCAGAACAAGTCTAAAAATAATAACAAAAATAATTATAAATATTAAATAATAAACTATTATCCCTTTTTTTTTTTTACGTTTTACTTTTCCCTTGTTTCCATCTTCCATGCATATAGAAACAAATTGACTTGACTTAGGGAGATTCCATCCTTTTGTGTGAAGTATGTGGTTGAGTGTGCATGAGTGTGTTCTTCAACTCTCATCCCCATATTCCTTATCCGAAAGCGGTTTCGTCGAAGGGCAACGGTAAGTGGTTGATTTTGGAATTAATGGTATTGACCCTCAAATTTTTTTTGTAACATGAATAATATTTGATTCTTGATCATTTGTTTTGTCTCCCCTTCAAATGATACGGCACGGAAAAGTATAAAGCTGATCTTCGAAATTCCAAGTACTTGGATGGACATAGGAGTGAGGGAGTGGAAAAATCCACAACGTGCCATGACATCTGCCTTGGCATTTTAATTTTGGTAAAATATCATTTAAGAACCACAGGAGAATTTTTTTATTATTAAAGAATGACTTTAAAGATATGAAATTTCATTACACCCTTAAGTACCTATATGAAAATAACATTTTATGATAAAAGATCTAATTATTTCTAAGATTTTATGGATGCATAAACAAGAATTCATTCAGTTTTAGAAAACTAATCATACATAATTAACAACAACCCATTCATGAATGAACAAGCAGCAAAAAACCCCACAAGCCATGACATCCACCTTAGCATTTAATTTTTGAGGTGATTGCTTCTGATCCTTTAAGACTACGTTTCTATGTGCCACTGCCCCTCTCTTTCCTTAGATTTAAATTTGATGAGTGGTCTAAATCTACTCACTCAATAAATGTCTCAATTATGATCATTGAATTTTATTAAAACTTGAAAATTATTAAAATATATTTCTCTCAAAAAACTAAAAACAATAATCACAATAAAAACACTTTTACATATGTTGTCCCCTACAAAAATTTAAGATTTAGTACTTTTTAAATATTATATAACAAAATCTTTAATAACCGCTCAATTAAATCATACTATTGTTATTGTACCTAGTGAGACATTTATTAAGTAAGTGGCCTAAATCCAAATTTTTGAATTTCTTTTCTCTTATCTAATTAATTAAGGCACCACCTCTGTTACATCGTCGCGCTTTCATTGCATAAGTATTCCGTTCATTTCCCTTTTATCTTTTTACAACTCAAATACTTCACCCATCTTTCTCTATCGCCTTTCTTTTTCTTTTTTTTACCAGCATCTCTCCATCCCTCCATCATGATTTTTTAACAATATTCATACCAATCACACTATTGAAAAAAAGAATCAATTACTTCATAAATTTTACAACATGACTTGCAACCATGCGAGAGTTAAAATAAAAAAAAAAGGTTTCTGGCAGCTTGAAAATGATCTATAAATAGATCAGTGACACATAGGGATTTAATAAGAATGATTTTAAGTGTAATTGAACAGAAAATTAGAAATCAAGTAACTTATGATTTTGTA